ACAATATTTTCACTTTTTTGTTCCTCTTCTCATACCCAAAGCCACACTTATTTGCAGATGATCTTTGTCCATGCGCCAACTCATTTGTTGTTTGCCTCCAGATCAGCTCTCTCAAGAACTATGTCAATAAATAAAACAACCTCAACAACAGCACACACAAATACAAGCATCGAAGATTTCAAGTACCCCGAAAAACAAGAAGAAATACACACAAATACATATACATTTATGAGTGCGTATATGGGTATTAAAAGTCTTGACCTACGGCACAGATGAAAGAGAAATATTAATATTTCCTAATCCATTGTAATTATGATTTGTCTGCCATTGTTTGTCAACCTTCGGGGCAGCAGCAGCAGCAGCCGCAGCCGCAGATCTCGCAGCGAGGCCTTTTCAATAGATCAAATTACCAAAAAAGATATGTCAATTCCTCCCCAGGAATTGAACACGAAAAACGATAAGAGATCTGCGTCAAAAAGTGGAATAAAAAGCAGCAGTCCCCAGCATCTAATTGTTGGCCACAAATATCCGAGGGCTGCCGCCTGACTTTTTTTTTCAACAGAAATCGAAAACGAACGCCTAATCTTGACGGCCGGCGTCAGGGATTAGTTGGTCCAATCAGCGGCAACGCCTGCGGCTAATGAGCGGCACTCTGCTGCCGTCTGCTGTTCCCTGGAATCCAAAAAGAAGTCCAAAGAAACCACCGAACGTACGCCCCTGATAATTACTCCGTGTACCTCTCTGTGTTCCTATAAAAAGTCATTCGAAAACAATGGACTCGAGAGGGAGACCAAGAGCCCTTGCCTCTGCCTCTGCTCATGGCTCTGCCCCTGCCAGATGATCAGTGTTAAGCGGGTGATCTTGGAGATCTCTTATCGCTGGCCATAGATGTGTGTTATGACTTTTACTTTTCTTTGTCACGATCGTGTGGTGTGTCGCTTCAAATCAAAGCAGCAGATTAATAATATTTCCCTCGTCTGTCGATCGGAAAGATGACAGGAACGAGAACGAGAGCGTGGTGTGGTGTGGTGGAGTCGGTGGAAAAATCAAAATCAAATTAAAAGACAGCAATCAATAATTTGACACGACTTGGAGCCGATACCAGAGCCAAGACCAAGACCAAGACCAAGACCAAGATCGAGGCACCAAGATCCTCAGCTGCGATCGTTTGTCGGTGTCCCGTTGTTCCACCAGAAGAGGATAGAGGATCGGGGAGATTTGTACAATTTTTGCGACATTTTGTTTGGGGGCCAGATCCATATGAAGCTCTGCGATGGGATGGGATGGGTTTTGTAGTTGGATCCTCTCTCTCGCTCTGTATCTCTCTCTCCCTCTCTCTATCTCTCTGGCTTTGTGTGTCTCTTGCACCCATGTTGCAGGCTATGTACAACATCAAGTTTTATCGCTGATCGTGATCATGTAATTCCAGCCCACGCATGCGCGCACTCGGCGCTCGCTCACTTCGCGGCTCCACTCGCAGGCGAAGGAATCAAGTTTAGCGCATTCTTATTGCCGATCTCAATGCTCGCTGGGATCTGCTTGGATATGCTGTGGATCTGCTGGGGATCTGCTTGGGGATCTGCTGGATGTGGACCTTGTGACAGATGGTTGTAAGGCCTTAAGGCATTCCCTCGCCTCGCCCAGAACGGGCAACAAACGGTGGACGGGCTGGTGGGACGGGTCGGGGACTGGTTTCGAAGCTAGCCTTAGCCCTGTGCGATCTTTATGTAAACTGGTACTTGAAATTTGAAATCATGTACCATTTGCCTTGAGAGACAGACAACGCGGATCGTTCGACTGGGACTGAGACTGGGACTGGGATTGGGACTTGGCTTTCCTGGCAATCATTGATCGTGTCCCTGACGAGGCTTGGGTCTTGGATCTTGGCTCTTGGCTCTTGGGACTCAGGGCGGCACAGGAAACGAGCATTTAAAAGCGCGAGACTATCGAAATATAACGACGAATTTAAAGGAAGCTTGTGTCAATACGATGGAGTTTACCTTGGAATGTGCAATCGCGATGGCAAGATCTTTTGATGGCGCCGACACGCCGTTGCCGATGCGCCAGGACAAAGTAGAGATCAGGCTCAGCATAAGCATACGCTCATGGAGATCATCGTCGTTTTGATGGCCACTAAGCGACATAATTGCTACCGTGAGATTCCAGCAAGAGCCAGTGCCAGAGTCAGAGCCAGAGTCGGAGCCAGAGTCAGAGCCCAGATCCAGACACCGTCTCTGATTCGGATCATTATGAACTGCGATCCTAATGCGCTCCAATCAAACACACACGAAACGAGCGTATGACATGTTCGAGCATTATTAATCATGATAATATCTGTATAAATGGTAGAAAACTGTGCACACAGCGCCGCCAGAGTCTTGGCCAAATTGCAATTTAATGTAGAAATAAATTGCACTCGGTGCCGTCCCTGAGATGGAGTTGAAGCTGGAGCTGTTGCTGGATGTTGGATGTTGGCTGTTGGCTGTTGGCTGTTGGATGCTGGATGCTGACCAACCGGCAGCCGAAGCTGGCAGCTCCCATGATTATTGGTCATTTACTTGCGCCGTTTAGCGCATTAAAATGCAGCCTGTCTCGTCCCATACCCGTCCCGTCCCGTCCCGTCGCGTTCAATTCCGTTGCTCCGTTCCGTTCTGTCTCAAGTTTTATGCATAAAGAAATAATTGACAGTTGAAATGTTGGTCCACAGAGCCAGGTTCCAGACCAGACTGCACTTGTGGCCTATGATTGCAGTTGGTACGCGGCAACGCGGCGGATTGTGATTCGAATTGTGATTGGGATTGGGATTGGGGATTGCCATTCTGTGGGGCGTGTGTTTTTTTTCTTTACGAGTGTTCCTCTCCTCCATCTCCAGCATGGGATGGCGTGCGAGCAAAATCATTTCAATCAACTGCAGATGCAGATGGGACGGCAGTCAAAATTGTTATGCTTTGGTATGGTGGATGGGGGCTCGGCCTGGGCCTGGGCCTGGGCCTGGGGCAACAGAAATCAACGCGTTGACTAATGGCCACAATTTGCAAGTGCAACGCAGGTTCATGGTACACTGCGGCGAATGTTTTTGGGCAGTTGAAGAACGCTAGATCAGGAATCGTGATAATATTCACGTGAATATCCACGTTCAAGGCTGCAGAGTTGAGGATTAATGTCGAAGAGTTAAAGATCGCTAAAGATTGAAGCACACCTCTGAAGGTTGTTAATTTCGAATACATTATTATTTTATTGCTCCATATTTATTTCCTAGAATTCATTTACTTCAATTTTTGTATGGAAAACAGCTGGTTTCTTTTTTTTATCTAGCCATCGCAATCCTTTGGTGGCTCTTTCATAATCGCCGAACATTTCATTTCTTTAGAATTGAAGTTGTAGATGATCGAAGTTGGAGAACTGCAGGAAGAACAAATTCTGATATTTATTTTCGAGTGATAACTGGATACTCTACATAATCTCCCTTTTCCATCACAGTCGCAGTGGTAATTTTCCTGAATTTTGCCAGTAAAATAATATCTTAAGCCAACAAAAATTCGCAATAAGAAAAGAAAAAAAAGTGTGAAATTCATAGGAAAAATCATAAACAATTTCTGCAAAATAATAATAAACATAAAGGTAAATAGCCAAACTAGATTGAGCGAGATAGCTACAGACAGTGCGAGAGAGAGAGCTGCATAGTGTACGAGACAGAGAGAGAGCGAAAGAGCAGGAGACAACTCCCTCCCATGGCAATTGGGAAAGAACTCCCACTCAAAAATTAACCACAAAGGCGCCATGAAACCGGTTCTTCGAACGATTTCTCTCTCTCTCTCTCGCTTTGAACGTATGTGTGCATGCGTTAAAGGTGCTCAAGAGATCGAACATACACACTGACAGAACTTGTTTGCACCTGGCTGTTGGCTCTCTCCGGCTCTCCCAGCGATCGCTGTGCTCTTTCCACGCCACAATCGCAGCTGGGACGCGGCTCTCTCTGGCTCGATCCTCTCCAGAACTCTCTCATGCTCTCTGTCGCTCTGCTGTTGCTGCCGCAGTGTTGGTGAGAGCAACGGATCAACAAGTGAGCGCAGGTCCGCGCACCGTGCGCAGAGCAATGGACTTTTAGTTATTCCGAGATCTTTTACCAATATTGTGTGCAGCGACGGCTGATCAGACGGCCAGGCCAGGCCAGAAAGAAACAGAAACAGAAAAACAAGAAACAGAAACAGAAAAACAAGAAACAGATAAAGCAGAAGCAGAAGAAGAAGGAGCGGATAAAGAAGAGAAGCAGAAATCGGAGCAAACAAAAATCGAGTTAGATCCGTGTGCGTGTGTCGGAAATTGCGGAAGTGTAGTGCTCAAAAAAGCGGAAGCCGGCTTGTAATCGATAAGAAAATCACCCAACCAACCACCCACCCACCCACTCTCTCAATCAGTAGCAGATCTGCAGCTTTGGTGGTAAATTCCCGTCTGAATTAACGCGTGTGCCAGTCGCAGAGCATCCAAGCATCCCCAAACATCCAAACATCATTCCATCAGTCGGAAAGCGTGCCTGTGTCTACCGCCAATTTGTTGCTGCCTCCTCGTCGACCTGCATTCTGCTGGCCCGGCTAAAGAAACTGGCCCCAAGAGACGGACTCTGTGCATTTTGGGCTGCTTTTTTGTTTTTTGCTGTGGTTGGCCAACGTCAAATTCGATTTTTATGACTTTTGAAAGCGTGACTAAGACGTGATTTATGATGGCGTGTGGTTTTTAATATTCATGTGGACGCGCGCGCTCTTCCCCAGCCCCAGCTACGGCACCAGCACCAGCACCGATCCGATCTGCAGCTCTCAGGAACCTGCGTAGGTGCGCCAAACAATAAAAAAAAAGGGTTGCATCTTTTTTGCAGCAACAGCAAGAAGCCCACGGGGCACAGACTCCACCGATATCCAGCTGTGTGTGTGCGTGGATTCGACTTTTTTATGGATGCAGTTAAGCATTTGAGTGCTGCCGCTGCTGCTGCAACAGAGAAGAGCGATATGCAGGAGAGGAGTGCAACATCTGTGGAGGCGGCTGTCAATGAATTGGTGGAACTAGAGGGCAGTGCCACAGCCACAGCAACATCCAAGGGGAACAGTGGCTGCCACAAGGAATCCCCCACGACTGCTGGCAAAGACGCCAACAAATCCGACAAGAGCCACAGCACTGCCAGCCCCAACAAATCTCCGCCTGCCACAAAAGCCAGCAACGCCGCAATGGCGGCTGCCACCGCTGCCACAGCTGCAGCGGCCACCAATGACCTTGCGGCGGCGGCAGCAGTAGTGCTCTCCCTCCAGGGCACGATGGTGAGCAGCCTGCAGCAGGCCGCGCTCCTTCCGGCCAACTCTGCGGCGGCGGCAGCCCTCAATCTGCAGGCCCTGGAATCCTACTTGGCCCTGCAGCGCCTCACCGGCAAATCGGATGTGTATCGGTACAGCAACAATCAGAACAGCAACAGCAACAACAACAACACGGCTGGCAGCAGCAACAACAGCAGCAGCAGCATTGGCAGCAGCAGCTGCCACAACGAGGCAGAGGCCAGCAGCAGCACTCTGCCCAGCCTCATAGACATCGCCAGCATTGAGCTCAAGTCGAGCTGCTCATCGAGCTCCTCGGTGGGGTCTGTTGTTCCGTCCAGCAATGCTGCAGCCTGCCACAACACCTCCTCCTCCTCCCCCAGCAGCGGCAGCACCTCCACCCACAACAACAGCAGCAACAGCCACACTTCATCCAGCAGCAAGTGCCTGCCACTGCCTTCAATTGGAACTGTAAGTGCTGCTGTGGCAGCAGCTGCTGCCGCCGCCGCGGCTGCGGCCAATCAACAGGCGGCCCTTGACTGTGCCACAGCCGCAGAGCTGGCCGCCGAGTGCGATCTGCCCCTGCTCGATGGGGAGGATGCGCTGTCCTTCGAGGCCGGGGATCTGGACAGCAGCTATGGCAGCTTCATCTTCAATCCCTCGACCTTTGGCCAGGCGGAAGCGGACACCTCGCTGCACTCCCTGCAGGCCACCATGTACCAGGACAAGATGAGTGTGATGGGGGGATCGGGATCCGGATCGGGCTCGATGGCCGGAGGCAGCGTGGAGGAGGGGGCCAGCTCCACGGCAGCGGCTGCAGCGGCGGCCCAGCGCTCCAAGAAGCAGTTCATCTGCAAGTTCTGCAATCGACAGTTCACCAAGTCGTACAATCTGCTGATCCACGAACGGACCCACACAGACGAGCGACCCTATTCGTGTGATATCTGTGGCAAGGCCTTCAGGCGGCAAGATCATCTAAGGGACCACAGGTAGGTGCATCAACTCCACTGCCAGAGTACGAGTTTGGGGGAACAAAATCCAACTTAAGCATATCCATCTATTTCCATCTTTGAATCTTTGTTCTGCCCCTCACAGATACATCCACTCCAAGGAGAAGCCCTTCAAGTGCGTCGAGTGTGGCAAGGGGTTCTGCCAGTCGCGCACTCTGGCGGTGCACAAGATACTGCACATGGAGGAGTCGCCGCACAAGTGCCCCGTGTGCAACAGATCGTTCAACCAGCGCTCCAACCTGAAGACCCACCTCCTCACCCACACGGACATCAAGCCCTACAACTGCGCCTCCTGCGGCAAGGTCTTTCGCCGCAACTGCGATCTCCGGCGGCACAGTCTCACCCACAATCTCTCCGCCACGGGCGGTGTGGGTGGCAATCTGAGTGATCTATTCGGCCCCGGCACCCCCGGCTCCAGCTCGAGCTCCGATCTGGCTCTGGGTCTGGGTCTACCTTTGGTTGGCGCAGCAGGCGGCTCCTCAGCCACTTCCTCCTCCTCCTCCAGGGATCTGGTGGCCGTCAGCGATTGATCCCCACTCCCACAGATCCCACTCACACTTAAGATAATCTCATTTGCAGCTCTCATGACACACGACACGAATCCCTCCACGAACTCCCCCAACAGCTAACAGCATTTAACTTACAGTTAGTTTAGCCTAGCCCTAAGACAGGTTTAAGCCACGGATATTTGTGACGTAAGCCTAGCAGCAAAGTTTGACTTTGTAAGAACCAACTCGATATCGATACTACGTCTAGTGTTTAAGCGAAATTGTGAACTCTTATTGTACAATCGAATAAATGATAATAGATTAAAAGAAAAACTACACAGCAATGGTTTACTTTTTGGGATGCAAAATTAAGACGGGCTTGAATTCTGAGGAATTCAAAATTTGGAGAAATTGGAGACATATATACATGATGGGATGGAACTCCTAAGATATTTAATTGTAAGACTCCTAAAGTGCCTGGAACTAAGACTGGATCTTCACAGAGTTTACATTGAAGGATGTACAAGTTCTATGCGATGTTGCTTCTTGAAGTTCATCCCAAAGCGTATTTCCAAGAAAGGAAAGATTACTCTTTGCAGACACAAAAACCTCAGGGTTTAAAATCTCAGTCGAAAACTCCCATAAGTTCTTAAAGTCTGCGATGAGCGAATGGTAAACTCTTTTGTATACCGACAATATCCTTTCGAAGCATTCAATCTGGAAAGTTCTCTGAATTGAAGTTGAAAAATTCCCTGAATCGTAGCTGGAAAATTCTCATCGTTTAGCCACCCCACCTATAACCCTACTCCTATTCCTCAGTGGACTCCTCTCCTGATTCCTCTGTTGTAGTGACATTATTTACACACTTGTAGAAAACTAAAATCAAATATTTGTACCGATGTTTATCACTCAAGTGCCAACAAGGGCAATTAATGTACCATTAAAGGTGTACACCGAACACCGAACACCGTATACCGATCTCCACACAACAAGCCTTTGACAACAAACGACAACGACAACGACTACGACATCAAACAAGAATGACAACCAACAACCAGGGCGAGACAATGCGACGCTTCGTCGATGACTGCTTTTCCCATCAGTTTTCCCCCAGTGCAGGCAGTGCCCAGCAGTACTGTATGTCTATTGGTGTGGGAGGAGGATATGCCACTCTCAGGGCTGCCTTCCATTTCTTTCATTCATTATCTCGCGCTCAAGTCAAACAATGTTGAACAAGGCGAGCGACAAGCATGTAGGGCAGGCGCTATCAACCGATTTGACCACCCACGATCCCTACCCTACCGATCCCTGGAGATCCTATCTGAGAGGAGAGCAGCACAGCGCTTTCCCATGGAGTACGAGTATTGTATATCCCGCTCTGTGCTCTGTTAGGTGTGTCCGTTAAAAGTCTGCGGAAATTTTATAGCAAAAAGTGGGCTGTTCGGCCAAGAACAAGGGTGGAGCTCCAGCAACAGCCATACAGCCAGACAGATGGTCCGGTACGGATGGCCATCCGTTCGGACTGCCACAAAGTTTACAATTTTTATTATCGACTACAAAAAGATGCGGCCATAACGACACATACAACAGTTCAAAGGCGAACACCGACCCGGGGTCCAGTCGCTGTCGCAGTCGCAGGTCCAGTTCCAGTTCGAGAGTCCAGCCCCCTTTCCGTTCTTCTTTTAAGGCCACGTTTGTCAATCGTTAAACGGATCAATGTAAAGCCGCCTGCAATGTTGTCTCTCTGCTGCATTTCCTGTGCTCCAGCTACAGCTCCAGCTACAGCTACAGCCAAACCAATTACAACGATCAAACAACAATTATGGTAAGCGAAGAGCCCAAGCCCATACATAGTCTCCCCCTTTCGGTTCGGCTCTTCCCAGAGAGAGGCTTCGAATGGTTAAACATTTTCAACACGATCTGCCTGCTGCTCTCTGCAAATATTTGCGCGGATATTGTTCTATTCAATGGAGGAACAAGCGTGCTGGGGAGACATCTACATCTACCCATTAGGTTAGGCCTTAAACAGAGGAGTTTCAGAGCAGCAGAGCAGCAGAGGAGAACCTCTAAAGTGGCAGAGGAGAGGAGCGCGGCTCCAGAACGGAGCGTCTCTGCGAATTGCCAGCAATTTCACACTTTATGCGCGACGGCTTCATTTCCACAAGGAGGAGTGCAGGGCAGTGCATCCACTCTTGAGGCAAGTCCTACTACGTCCTCCGTCCGCCTTCCTCCTCCTTCTTCCTGCTTTGCTGGCAAAGCGGCGCGTGCGGGCGAGGCGGATGTTTAAACGCTTTCGAGGCAACATTTTCAGCCGGACTCGTATTGATGGGAAAATTATGAAATTCATTGTTTGTGTTTGACTAATAATTATGACAGCAAACGCATTGTCGTCATAAAACCAAAGGGACAACCCGTAGATGGACCCGGGTTTCGGTATGGTGCAGTGGGTTTATTTTTGGTGAGGGGGAAGGGGAGCAGCCGCACTAAATTCCCTTTGAGGCACCGAAAAGCTGACTAACTCTAATAAGCCCATCAGCAGCAACAACACCCGACAGTCGACAGTCGACAGCCAACAGCCAACAGCCGCTTCGATCTGCAACACTTACAGGAAGGAGAACAACAACCAACAACCAACAACCTACAACCAACAATGTAGTTGTCTAGTGTCGAGGCGTGGCACCGTGGCTCTGGGCCTCTGGGGCTCTGAAGCTCTGCAGTTCCGAGATTCTTTGAAGTCGAAGCCCCCCATTGGACTGGGGGGCTCTTTGGTCAAGGTGTTTGTTGGCAGAAGAGAGAGAGCGAGAGAGAGAGAGAGAGAAAATATTTTGTTGCGTTTCCCGGAACCAACGCAATGCAAAGCCAAAGCCAAAGCCAAAAAGCGGAACGTTCTCGTTGTCGCCGGTTGTTTGGTCGTTGATTTTCTTTTCTTTATTTTCTGTCGTTTTGTTTTTTCGGGGTGAATGTGAATGTAAATGTCATGGCTGTCGGTTGGTTGTTGGCTGTTCTGTTTCTGTTTCTCCTGCTGTTGCTGTTGCCGTTGCCGGTTTCGGGTTATTTGGCCATTTCGGCACTCTGGCCAGTTAGTTGTCGGCACCATTTGCTTTATGATTTGATGTATGCCCCACCAATAACTCGGCGCGGGTTATCGGCACCTCAATGGGAACGAATCCATGTTTGCACAACGCTGATGCATGCCACGTATAGATCTGCCCACCCCACCCCATCCCATCCCATCCCGTCCATCCATGCAGCCGCCGGCGTCCCAAAGTTCTGGGTCGGGTCGGACTTTTGTGCTGCGCCACGCCATCCTCAGGGGGAACGTAAATTTCTGTGGCGTTCTTCTGTCTAATTAGGTGCCATATCGTAAAGGTTTGGCAGACACATTTGTTGCCTTTTGGAGGAGCCATTGAGAGGTTTGCTAGCTGCAGTGAGGCTTCAGTACCAAATGGCAAGGTGTTGGCATATTTCTACATAGACTCCTGAGAGACACTGGAATGTGGGAGGGCACTTGCGGATGGGTGGGAGTGGGATGGGGAGTAAGATTGCAGATGCAATCGATTCGCCTATCCTCTAACTTTTATCAGCTGCAGCCATACCCAAATTCTCCCCTAAAAAACCCAACCATTCTGTCATCACAGCTGTCTTAGGAATGCAGTGTCCCCCCCCACCATACCCACCCCATCCACATTGCTGCCTTCGTCACGCTTCGAAGCCCTCGTCAGCCGCCACAAGATCATAAACCATGGAAAACTCAATTTCTGGAAACGCCAAGCAGACTGGCAGCGGCGGGTCGGTCGGTCGGTTCGGTCTTTGTGCCAATGTCATCATACAGAAGAAAAGCTGCCGAAAATCGTGCAAGTGAATAGATAGAGCTTGCTTATCTCGGATCGCATCGTCTATGGGGGAAGCCGCACTCGCACTCAGCACTCCGCCGTGTGGGGAGGGGGGGGAGAGCCAGAGGACTGAGGAATTGTGTCCCAAGTGGTTATTAGATTTTATTGGATGGGACACTTTTGCCGACGGCAGAGTTGGGAGTCGCTCTCACGTTGCGGCAGACTACTGACGCATGCATATCCCACATATCCACCCCCCCCACATACCCCACAATCCACACACACACACACACACTACATACGAGTATTCCCTACGCACTCGTATAACTCTTGCGCCTTGATGTTGCACCGTTTGTCGGTTGTTGGATTTTATTGCAGGCAGGCGCAAATGCAAACAAAATTCTATGTATGTATGTACGTATACGCGCTATAATCGTTATATATTTAGAAGTTGTACGCCCTAGAGTACTCAAATAATTGACAATCATGAGTGCAATCATCCGTTCGTCTGCACTTTTGGGTTCGTTCTCTCTCGCCTGTCGCTCTCCACACACACCACACTCAACACTCTCTTGCTCTCTGTGTGTGTGTTTGCACAGGGCTTGTTTGACAAGTTCGCGCGGCACGTAGCACGGAGCAGTCGCCGCATCGAGTTGTGTACTACACATAATCATCAAACAGAAACAGAAACAGCAACAGCAACAGAGCCCAACAGAAAGCAACAGAACCCATCCAGAATGCAGCGTATACCCCAGCAGCACTCAGCAGAGAGAGCGAGAGAGAGAGAGAGAGAGATAATGGTATGGGCTTATCTCCCCACCCCCCCAACCCAACCCAACCCAACCATCATCCCATAACTGGAGGGTTATATGACTTTTCGGAAACCCGATAAGCTCGTTGGTTCCATGGACAGCCCAGTGTACTCCATGGCACTCGTAGTACTCCCCAAGTACTCCCCTTCGAAGCTAATTGACGACGCGGTTAAATTAAAACGAAATCATTTGCAAGCACAACACTCCACCCCATAGCTCCTCCCCATTCCCCATAGAGAGCAGAGACCAGAGTACCAGTACCAGTGCGAGTACGAGTACGAGAGGGTACTACCTAGGCGGCAGTCGGCGATGATTAGAACCAAAACAATCAAACACAAAACACATCAAAGAGCACCGGGGCCCGGTGCCGTCAATTTGTCATTAACGTAATATACTGACAAGATTGCTTTGCACGGATATGGTTGAACGTCGCGTCGAACGGCTAACGTGTCAGCCAACCCCTTCAGCCCCACCACCATATATGTACATACGTATACGGTACTCGGTACAGTACGGGGGGGTATTTGTCGACAAATATAGAGTTTAGCGTCTGTCAAGGTGTTGTAATACTGTTACTTACTCGCGTCTCCCCAGCGAGGTTGGAGGGTTGGAGTGGCTGGCTGGGGCAGTTATAAATTTCCGTTTTTAACAAAAATGTGACATATTTTCAGGTATCTGTTGTT